AAATGGAGATAACACCTACCTTCCTCACAGTGTTGTGAGGATCAAATGAGATCATCTATATAAAGCCTTTTGGTAACCTTAAACACTATATAAGTGTGAGCCATTATATGCTTTTACCACTTACCTACTAGGGAATCCCTTAGACTTTAAGTCTTTTATATTTGTGTTAATTCCCTAAGACTGTTAGAAATATTTCATGACAAGATTCAAGTTGGAAATTTCTAGTTATACTGGTTTTGTTTATATGAAGTTGTTAAAATTTACGTAATCAAACTTGTCTATTTTCATTTTTGTGGTCTCCTCTATTTGCAGTTTGATCGTTAATTTTTTCCACCAGCCTGATCTAATTTTTTGTGTTACTTTTTAAACACAGGTCACATCCATTTAGAGATTAAGATGGCACATTACTAAGATGCTGGTCTAAACCTGTTTTCTTAAAAAGAGCTTTCCACGGCCCCCATTAGTTCTTCCCTGTCAGTTTCCTTCAGATTACTAAACACAAGCTACCATTTTCTATTACTTTCTAGTCGTGCTGATCTAATCTGCTCCACTTTTCCATTTTTTTAATAACGGCCAAATAAATTTTAAGAGTCCTGCTTTATAATATGGTCTGAGACCTGATATTGCAATTCCACCTTCATTTCTACATTTTTTCATTATTTCTCTTAAGATTTTAGATCTTTCCTTCTGGCTGTCGGTGCAAAAGGCCTTGTGAAGACACTGCTGGTCTTGTTGTTCTCCGTCCTACATGTACCTTCACACACTGCAGCTGAGACAGATGAGTCTATTTGCTGTTCCTCATCCACAATGCTCCACTTCTCAGAGGTGTGCCTGCACCATGCTCGGTCCCATCAGTGGAATACAATTCCTTTCTCTGGTTTTATAGGCCCTGCTTCCTATTCATGCTTAATGGAGGCCTGGGGGAGGAGTTCCCAGATCTTCCTACTGCAGCTCTACCCTGACATCTCCTCACCTTCCTCTCTCAGAATCCCTAGATTCCTTCAAAGCTCAGCTCAAGGGCTACAATGACCTGTATCTAGTCCCCCAAATGTGGCCTCCCATTACCCCTGCCTGAGCCCTTACTTTACTTTTCCTCCGTGGAAGAGAGGAGCTGGTAAATGCTATCTGGCAAAAGATCAGATAATGTACTTCTGGACCCTAACATCCTAGCTCTCTCCTCTCAGAGGCCACCTCCCATTTACAAGGGCTCACACTTTCCCATAAATAGCCGATTGTACGTCGTGTTTCCCAATTGCAGTGTGAGGTCCTCAAGAGTAGGGGTCATTTCCAGCCTTTATTTTTATATTCCCCAGGTGTAGCACAAGGTCTGGCACAATCAACTGACTGCCTGACTGCAAACTTTGGAGAAAAAGAAAGGACACTAGGAAGTGTGCTGATACTAGCAACTAGTTTTTATTTAAAAAATTGTAATGATGAGCAGAGGCACTCCTCCTTCTTACTTAGGATGAGCATGCATTTAAAAAACAGTACAGCACCATTCCAATACATACAAAGTTCATACATCAAAACAGGAGGCTTTAATACTTCTCTACTACATGGAAGAAACACTTCAGATTATTTGACTCTAAAGGTTATATCTCTCAGATCAAGATAGACTTTAATTCTGTATAACAGAGCAGTCATTTTAGCTGAGTGTGAGGATATTTAAGAATTCTGAGCAATAGCAAAAAGTTAAGTGTTTTGTTTTGCTTTTTTTAAGCTAAGCTGATTTTTCAAAAGTGGTATTGTTTTTCAGTCGTGTCCGAGACCGTGACCCCATCTGGTTTCCTTGGCAAAGACTGGAGTAGTTTGTCATTTCCTTCTCCAGATCATCTTACAGATGAGGAAACCGAAGCAAACTGGGTGAAGTGACTTGTCCAGGGTCACATAGCTAGTAAGCGTCTGAGGCCGAATTTAACTCAAGAAGAGTCTTCTGACTCCAGACCTGCTACTCTATCCACTGCCACCAAGCTGCTCTTCAGAAGTATGACAGAGTACAACCATTACAAATCTTAAGCACTATTACTGTAACTGTTTTTCTTTGCATCTGTTACAATTCACATGCTGAACTTTAAAAAAAAAAAAAAGATTCATCACACCAGCCCTAGAGTCAAGGAAGACCTGAGTTTAAATCCAGCCTTAGACACTTGACACTAGCTGTGTGACCCTGGGTAAATCACTTAACTCCGACTGCCTTACCAAACAAAAAAAAAAAAAAAAAAAGATTCACCATCAGGAGAATCCCACTAATAGGGAGCTAATTATAATATAATAAAAGGGACCTATAATAACAAGGAGCTAACATCTGAAATCTCCTTAAGGTCAGGAACTATTTCTTTACTGTATTTCTATCAGGCCTCAGAACAATGCCTTGCACAAAGTAACCACTTAATAAATATCTGCTGAACAAAACTGTATTACATGAGAAGGGACAAAAGTTTCATCTTGTGCAATGTTAAAATAAGGTCCTCTTAAAATACTGTAAAATACTATAGTATAGTATAAAATACTATAAGGACAATGCAGTGACAAGCCACAAAATGGATAATACAAATTAACAGGTCTTTCCTACAATCCAGAGTTTAATTCATGAGGTCAACATTTTTCAAAATCTTTCTGGAAGCTTGGTTCTTACTTGATTATAAACAAGTTACAGATGCACCAAAAAAATCACTAAATCATGAAAAATGTGCCAAAGATATGGATTCAAATTCCTCCAATATTGTTTTAATATCAGGCTGTGATTTTTAAAGTTTTTTTTAAAATTTCTTTACATCAAAAAATGGTTAAAGCACAACTCAGAGGTAACTAGAGCTTTTTCCTCCTATTCCATAACAAATTCTCCAAACAACTACTCAATAACCTTTGTTCAAGGAAGATTGTGGATTGGAAGTAAAGATGAGAAAGACTGAACCAAATAACATGTTTTTGGGAATGGCATAAGAGCAATAAAAAAATGTTAAGAGAAATAGACTAGAGGAAGCATTAAATACACAAAAAGGGAAAGAGACTAAAGATCAGTCCACTAATGAATAAAGAACATAAAAGTCAATGATAATAAAATTAAAATTACTAATACATTAATCTTATTGAATAAGAAAATGAAATCTGAAAACTCAAATTTCAAAATTGCTGAAGAAAAAGTCAAAGACTTGGACATCATATAAGCAGATTTCTATGCCATCATCTCAAAGATTATAGAGAATGGCGGGAAATAAGAAACTCAAAGAAATTCTAAAATATGCAATGATGTGGCAACTAGCATCAGAATTGAAGAGAATCCTAGCTAGAGGTTTTCTACTTCAACTCCCACAACATCGCTGATTTATTTGAAAATTTACACTGATTCACTATTCCTCTCCTCAGAAGGCAATTCATTCACTTTCAGACAGCTGCAATCATTTAGAAGTTCTGCCTGCATTGTACTGAAATATGCTTCCTCGTTAATTCTACTATTGGCAATGGTGCAGCCCTCTGGAGTCACGGAGTACAAAGTCTGATTTCATCTTCCATGTGATAGTACATGAAGACAGCATGTTCCCCACAAGTCTTTTCTTCCCCAGGTAAAATATCACTAATTTTTTTTTCAACAGATTCTCATATGACATGGTTTTGAGCAACCTCACCATGCTAGTCACCCAGCTCTAGACATATTCCATAGTGCCAATGTGCCTGTCCACTTCCACTTAGCTGCAGTTTCCATGGCAAGTAATGCAGGCCTTGGTTGGAGCTGTCCAGCTACAGTGAAATTAGTGGAAGCTTAAAAGCAGGGTACACAAACATGTACCCACCCACAGAAAACAGAACGTAGGGAACTCTGTAGAACTGATATCCTCATTATTCTAACATGGAATACAACGGCCTGATCCCAGACTGTCTCTTCACTTGTCCCCTTCAGACCCTCTTGATGATCCAGACAGAAAGCCCCTGCTTCTAAATCAAACAATACTTTTTGCTTCTGGCCTCAATGGTTCAGTACCTGCCCACAATTCATTCAGAGTATGACTCCTCTCTGAGTGGAAACCTCTTAGTTTCTATCTTTCTTATCCTTTAATGGCAGCCTGCATTTGGAAACACTCAACTTATCCTACGCAAGTTTCTATTCCTGATCCCACCTCAGAATGAGGCCTAGAGCACACAGGGCAAATATTCAGAAGACTTTTCATTTATGCCCAGTTACAAAGAAATTGTTTAGCCAGAAAATTACTTTTTTAATTGTCTGGTTGGTTGTTTTAAAGTTAATCTTATTCAGCTACAAGGGTGGTTTGGTTTTTTATCATTTTATATATGACAAGCAGCTTTTAATCCAACCTTGTGCATTTTTGTGCATAGCTTTCTCTCTTTTACTTCCAATATCAAGTCATGCAAAGTATTAAGATTGGGTCTGACTTCACACCTTTTCATCTGGTCTATGAGGGTGGCATTAAGATGGAAGCAATTCCATAGTAAAATGACAAACCATTAGAAGTACAAGAAATTGCAAAACAAAATTAAAGGTATGGAAGAGACTAATACATCATTTTAGCCTGTTACCATCCCATGGGGATCTATTTCTTAAACAGGCAGTGAAAAGCTTAGAAATTTTCTGATAGCATAATCTAGGTAGGAGAAGGCATGGAAGGGTTCCAATCTGCAGATTACCCAAAGTGAAAAATCACAGATGATTCAAAGCAATCAGGGTATAACCAGAATAATGACAAGAGAAGCAAAAGTTTAATATTGTACAGCAAAAATTTTCAGTTTTCAAAAATATGAAAACTACAAAATCACATAAATCCATGACCCCAATGTATATTATTTCAGTTATTAACATTTAAATTCAGGTTGATATCCCAAGATGAAATATTAGAGTTCTTTCTAAAATATTTACAACAATCACATTCATATTTTTCTTAGTACTGAGACCTATCTGCGTACTAATTCCTTGTTAGGTGTATTACTCACAAGTAAAAGAAACATTAATCAAAACAATCAATAATATTTAAAATCTTGTGACGTACCTTTTGATAAACTATTGAGCAGACTAGATCCTTTACCGCAGATAAAGACAACTCCTGGGCCTCAATGGTAACATTCTCCCTCGTAAGACCAATTTGCAGCAGAAACGATATTGCATGCACTGAGCCTCTGGAATTGCTAAGCGATGGCGTGCTGAAGCTTCCATTGGAGAGACGGCCAGAGGGTCCTGTCTTGGGACTTGAACATGGAGAGGGAGTTGCAAGCACGGCAGAGAGAGATGCAGGTGAGAGAGACTTCTGTGCCGATGGAGGGGAGTTGTTTGCGGACATCTGCCTTTCTTTAAATCTTTTGAAATGGCTGTCAATTTATTTTAAATGTTATATTGAGGCTCTTAAAAATTATAGCAGTAAAAAAATTTTTTTTTTCACTTTCTGACTTATTTAAAAGCTTCGTGCTTATTTTCCCTTTTAAGCCACACATGCCAATGATTACAAGTTCTTCAGCTAGGAACTTTATGAGTAACTAGTCCTTCCCCCTAAATATCAGCCCCTTTATCAAAAAAAAAAGCTGTGTCGTTAGGAAAACAACCAAGTGCTAGCAAAGGGTTTAACATCACTTGTCGTTACCACAGCAAAATCTAATTTTTATTTACCATGCATCTTCATTTGTTTTCTTTTAAATCTGTTCTTGTCTCTCGCTTTTAGTTTCAGAAAATGCATATTGAATGTTTCCTTCCATAAATGTCCTTAGTTGCTTTTTTTTTAAAGAAAAGTAACAGACTCTTACAGCTATTGTTACTGATGCTTTTAAAAAAGTGTTTAAGATTAATCTATTAAAAAACTATCCTTTAGTTCACAGACATAATTGGAAACGTTTAAATGATCTTCAGAAATGTCTTCATTTTCATTTCTACAAATATTCTCTGATGAAATGTAGAGCTTTTTAAAAGGGTACATGCATATTATATTTGATCACAGGGTTCATCCAGAAAAACTGAAGCATTTTGAAATGCAGTCTATCTGGTAAGAGGAAAAAAGGAAAAGAAATGTTACCATTTTAGAATCAAATCGACATAAAGTAAAAATTTAAGATACAAACACTTTATACCTTGAGTACAGTGATTTTTTTACCTTTATAAATATATTTATGATTAATCCATTTTTGTATTGGCTGAGAGCATCTAATGACTACTAGCTTTCCCTATAACACCGCCTAATTATCATTCTTTTACTATAAAACTGTTCTCAAAGGCAGGGTCAGTTAAGATGGAGGTCATTTCAAGAAAATCAAAAAGGACTGTCTAGCAACATGCTCTAAATCCAAGAGACAAAAGCCTTTCATTCTACTAAAAAATACTTGGGTTAAAGAGAAAAAAAAATATTACTGTGGCAGCATACTTCCTAGTCATATGAAGGATATGGATAATGCTTTCTTAAGTTCTGAAAGCTTGCACAGAGACAAAAATATAACAATGATGGGGGTACTACAACTATTCTGAAATTTGCTAGAAGTTCAATTCTGCTAAATTCTTAATTTGACCTGATTACTATTTCATCTTGGAAGATCAGATAAGGAATAAAGGAACTATTATTACAGATTTAATGCTAATCAACAGGGAGGAACTGGTTGGTTATATGGAAGTGACAGGAATCTTGAGAGAAACTGGCATCATCTTAAGAGTGTGTAATAGTGCAGCAACAGAGTACTAGGCATAGTTCATCATGTATTCTCCACTTTGGGAAAGCAGATCATAAAAAATTCATTAATAAATTGGGAAGAATCTGAAGCAGAAATCCAACAAGGAAAAGTCTCATGAGTGATCTGAGATTTTTAAAAATATTGTGACTATATAATTATAAATGCTCCCAATAAGAAAAATAAGGAATTATAGAATCACAGACGCAAAGCTAGAAAAAAGGACTTCAGAATTCATCCAGTCCGACCCCCTTATTTTACATATGAGGAAACGGAGGTACCTGGAAATTAAATGATTTGCCTAAGGTCAAACAGGTAAGTAAATAATCTAAAGAAATTAGTAGCTACAGAGGGAATTCTTTGTTGAATGAAAATTTACATGTAACAAAAGACGCAAGTGGAACATACAACTATGGATGAATACAACCTGTAAGAATAGTGTCAAGGAAACCAGTAATGAGGTTTGCAAAAACACAAAGACAGTAAAAGGGGTTTTAAAGCTAAGTCTGAAAGAATAATGCTATACATTTTTATAGAACTGCACAGTTTACAAAATATTTTACACATTTCATTTAACTCTCAGAAACATTCTTTGCAGTAGGATGGGCAAGTTATCATTGAGATCTCTTCCTCCAACCCCTTTAAAAATGAGGGTGCTGAAGCTCAGTAAAGTTAAGGGAATTCTCTAAGGTCACAAAGTAAAAGCTAAAACTAGAATATACATCATCCAATTCCTAAGCTGGTGCTTTCTCTTCTCATTGCATGCTACCTTTCAACAAGGAAATCATAGGCCCATTGCTTGGAAAAGATGGTGCCATGTGCCCCAAGCAAAAGGCAGGTCGATTTCTATGCTTCCTTCTCTATCACCACCATCAATCATCATCCTCATCCTCATCTAATATTACTTGATGATAGGCAGAAATCAGAACTACTCATTTTTTCTTTTGCTTCCATCTCCTCCATTGAAGAAAATGAAATTCAAAATGGAAAGTTAGACCAATTATCCAAGAACTAAAGTCCATGATGGTCAGACAACTAACAAAAGAACAGCTTAATCTAAACTGGTCTCCAGATCCAGACAAATTACACTACCATAAGTTAAAGCAGGTTCCCCACCCCTGGAAGGATCTTGCTGAGTGATGTGGCTCATTTTTTGTATAGTCATTGAAAATCAAAGTACTACAGGTATACTAAAGATTGAAAAATTTAGTTTTAAAAAGACTAAAAGCATGAATTTCAAAAACAAAAAACCAGTAAACTTGACAATATTCAGTAAAACTCTATACTGTAGGATTATCAAACAGAGAGTACTTAGGAAAAAATACAGTAATCCCTAGGAGACAACACAAATTCACGAAAAACAATTTAAAACAAAATAATTTAATTCCTATATTTTAAATAAAATTGCTAGATTGGTAGATGAATGAATTCTTTACACATAGTATATCTTGATTTTCACAAAATATTTAGCAAAGTCATTACATTTTTAAGGATAAAATGGAAAATTGTTGGATTTTAGTAGAGACTATAAAAATCATATATGGAAAATATGGAAAATGATATAAAGCTGGGAGGAATAAATAACATGATAAAGAATATAATCAAGATTGGATATGGTCTTGATAGTCTAAAATAGTCAAAAAACAATGAGATGCAATTTAATTGTGAAAAACATGAAGTAGTTCTGCACCTAGATTTTTCTTAATTAACTCTGCAAATTTAAGATAGCAAGAATATTGTTCATGGGGGGAAAAACTTATGGATTTTAGTTGACCATAAGGTTAATAAAAGACAGGCAATTCAGAGTGTCCCAAAAGTCTTAATGCCATTTTAAGCTATTTTGTGGGTACCAAATTGAGGGGGGGAGTTAAAACAATCTAAATCACAACAGCAAAAATATAGTTTCCACATTCAAAAAAAAACCACAAGTTTCATTAAATTTTGTGTTGGTTGGACTCTATGTAGAATATTGTACTCTAAACTGAATGTTACATTATATAAGAGACAATTTTAAAACTAGGAGGTAGAGAGAGGAGCCATCATAATGATGAAGGATTTAGAAACCATGTCATATGAGGAATAATTGAAGAAACTGGGAATGCGTTACATGAGGGGACTAAAACAGGGAGACACAAAAGCTATCTTCAAATATTTAAGAAGCTGTCATATGAATGAGGGAGTAGGTTTATCTGTATTGCTCCAGAGGATATACACATTTGGATCAATAAGTGAAAGTCACAGGAAAGCAGATTTTATCTCAGTATAAAGATCATTCTAATAATTATTTGAAAAAAATGGAATAAGCTGCCTTTTCAGAAAATAAGTTCTCTACTACAGGTGTTCAAGCAAAAGTTGGATATATACCAACTTCACTATTAATTCTAAGATCTATCATTAGATTTAAAACCCAAATACTCCCTAGATGAATCAACACATTCAAATTGAAGCAGAAATGACCAATATAAAATACTTTCCCTAGACAGGAATAACAATGCTGAGGGAGTGGGTTAATGTTTGTAAGTGGAAAAAAGGGATCTAAAAAAGGGAAGGCAGAGCAACAGATAAATTTACCTATCACAATTGCAAGTGTCACCATCCCTATTTGTACACTTTAATAAACTCTAGATAATTTTCTAAGGGGGGAAATGTTTCTGCCATGACTATGAAGAAGTTTTTTGGAATTCATGTAAATGTATATACATATACACACACACACACACACACACATATGTTATCTGGCAGGTAGAAAGTGTACATTATGTGATGCTAGCTCACTTTCATTGACAATTACAAAAATACTTTTTCTGACTCTGACAAAACATAGAATTAAAGTTTCCTAAAATATTAAGATTACATATCTGATTCAAGCAATTTTAAAGAGCAAGACCAAACAATAACATAACAGTCAATGGGGTGTAATAACACAACAAATAGTATCTATCATACTGTAGATACTATACTGTAAATCTTAAAAGAATAATGCTGCTCATAAAGGCTACTTCATATTTTCATATACAAGTAAAATATATAGAAATTCTTAAACTAAATAATGGTGCACTTCTTATTTGTTGGGCCCTTTTCATCAAATTTCCTTTCTATTTTCCCATTAGGGCTTAACAGCTAAATAACAGTAAAATTTCACAAATATTTAATAAGATGACTAAATTCAGTACCAAAATATACATTATTTCTATATTAAGCTACATCCAAACAATCAGGGCAATTTTTATAGAAAACATTTTAATTAGTTACTGTAATGCACTTCAACAAGCACACACATAAAAGAAACTAAGTGAGCTGTCACATTAGCTTCTACCCACTCATTCCATCTGTTTTCCCTCTCCTTGCTTTGTTTATGTGATAAACTTAATTGGAACTCTGATTTGCTGTGCAAAAGGCAGTTAATATGTAGGGGTCAAAATAGTAGACTGGAATTCAGAAAACCTGAGGCCTACATTAAATGTTCAGAATAGAGTCATGTTCTCAACAATACAGACACATCATGGAACATCTATGTATGCCTTTATTCTTCAATTATAAAATGAAGAAAATAGTACCTGTTCTCTATCAAACCAATTAGATCAACTGGATAAAAGCCAGTTTTTAACACCTAGAATAGAAAGCCCAAACCACTGATATTATCATCAAGTTGGCAAGTACTTCTATTTTGTTTACTAAAAACTTCTTTGGTGCTGTTTGAAAGGTATCTCTCACATAGTCCCTTTAAATAATCTTTCACAGGACACAAAGGAGAAATGAATGGACTATATCTGTTTAAAACCCTTACAGAGAGAAAGCATACTTCCCATTTTTGTATTTCAAGACTTTTCCTTTTTTTCCTCTGAATCTGTTACACAGTTGTAAAATATGTTAAAAGGAAGCTTGATATTTAAAATAATTTGTACTGAAGAAAATGAGACAAGTTTTTTTTTTATATTTAGAACACGAAGAATGGAATAATCCTTACAATTATCCTCACTAGAAACCTGTTAATTTAAATTCAGTCTCATTTATGTTTGAAATGTGGAGGAGCCAAAGATTCTTTTGTTTTTTGTTGGCAGGAATATGTTTACTAATTAGAATATAATGTGGCCTGTTTTGATAGATATTGATCATGTGGCCATTTCCATTTTCCTTAGATTGTAAACTTTCATGGCAAATACCTAACATCAGTTCATAATCACTGCAGTGATTTAAAAGTGATCCAGGAAAAAACATTTTTACATGACTTTTTTAACATTTTTTTTTACCAAGACAAAAATCAATGTTCAGGATTTTCTATTCACAAATTAGTCCAAAGCAACAGTAGCTCTTTTCTCCTGGT